ATGTCTGGCTGTCTGTCATACATTGTTGGATAATTTAGGGGTACTTCACCAAATATGCAAACTGTACAGCCATGGTATAGGTTAAAATGAAATTTAACACGGAACAGAGCATTTGGCTTTTAAAGGAAAATAAAAACAAATTTTCTTAATCTTCACAAGCCAGCAGTCTGTATAAAAGCAGAACCCCAAAAAAGTACGTCAGTCAGCAGTGAGAAGTAAAACCGAATCTGCTTCCTCTATTCAACAGATGCTAATGCTTGAAAACATTGAAACTGATTCCCATGGCTGAGGGTTTATCAAATACCTCAACATTACAGAAGAAAATGAGGAAAGGCTGACTTTACAACGAAAACTGTGGTGATGAGCAGTCCTTCTAAATCTACAGGAATCTATGCTGTGAGGAAGATGGAATGTGTTGTACAAATAAATAGCATATTAGAGCTGTATAATACAGTTGAAACCAGACATTTACAGAAATGCACATCCACATTTTTCTCACTGTCAGAAGTTAAGTCAGACAAAACTTGTTTTATAAATGTTAATTAGAATCACATATTTGCATTTGCTGAAAGCAACAATAATGAGAGAATACAACAAAGATTTATTAATGTCTTCAGAATCATAAGTTATATATTTCCTAAGTATTTGGTAGCATTGCCTTTAAACTATATTACTTGGGTCAAACATTGTTTAATGTGATAATAATCGCTCTACATTAATAAATAAATGTGACATATTCTTTTTCTCATTATTTTGGTATTTAGCAAATGGAAATGTTGATTTTTATTTTGTTTTCGTTTATTTTGCCGATACTGAAAAGGGGCGCCGATAAGTCCCCCGTTAGCTGATCTGACAACAGTTGATCTCAAACACCGCCTGATAAACACCATCCGACTCCAAGGATAATTTATAGCTGACTGAGCTCCACTACGACAGTTTACGTGTGTCTCTCATGTGTCACATGTGCTAGCTCATTGATACGCAGTCATGTTTCCGTTACGCTCTTTGTTTACCAAGTCTAACAACTTCTACAGTTTTTAATCAGCTCTACACGTTACCTACCTGAACCTGTGGTGGGTGAGGCTGGTAAAATCCTATGGTCTCATTATCTTAACGCTGTTAGCTTACTTTGACTGTTTCAACCTTCACCACAAGCTCCACTACATCATACTTCCTCGTCTGACCTTCTTCTTCTTATTATTGGTTTTTATTGGCGGTTGGTAATAAACCTTTCAGTAACATTACCGCCACTTACTGGTATGGACTCCTCTGATGTTGCTGAGCACATCAAAAATTTTGAATGCAATTACCGCCATCTAGTGGACAGGAGGTTTCCCTCATCTTTTATCGCAATTTTCTATTTAATCGCTGGAGGCATTAAATTCAAAGAAAGAATAGGAAACTGCCTCATCTTGATTTACTTATTCACTTGTCTGACTCCTCCTACACACATCATTGTCTGGTGTTTCCCCATCAGTTAGAAAAATGTGATAATGGAGCTTCTCATTATGCATCTTCTATATTTGTCCACTCACAACTGTTAATTTTTTTGAGAAACTGAATGATCTACGAAGGTATCTTCATATTGCCCCTTTGAAGCTTTTTTGATGTAATAGCTACGTTTTTTTCCTACTTGTTCTGGGACCAATAAAAAAAAACTACTTGGCCTATGAAGGCAGTCAGATGATTTGTAGAAAAGGGATATATCATTATCGGTCCAAAACTTAAGAAGGTGTTTGTCTGATCAAAAGGAAGATTTTTCAAAATCTTTTAGGCTCAATTAAAAAATAGAAGCAAACTTAGTCTACTAGTATACTCAGCAATCAGAACAAGAGTTATGTCATGCTTTCTTTGAAAATGCATGCTGTTTAAGACATTAATTAAAAGCAGATTTGGGTGGTGTGGTTATGAACACACCACCCAAATCAATAGTAGTTTCTTGGTAATAGATTTTTGCCCTAATTCAAAATTTTAAAAATTGCATCAACTGCCTGTAAAGCACAGGGTGTCAGACATTAAATTCTGAACTCTCATTATTTTTTAATAATAATCAAAATTTCATTCTGTGTGTAAAATTATTTGAATTTCACTTTCTGACATGAGTGAAAAAGAGAACTTTTTGAAATATTCAAATTTTTGGACTTTTTCAAAAATTCCATCCTTGTTAATAGGATGAGTAGAGAAATCTAGCAGGACAATTTTGGCAAGAATCAGATGTTGAAATAAGTGTGGATTTCCAGGCAGGACAATATCCTAAAGAAAGAATTTCTAACCGGTGTGTGAGAAAGTAAAGAGCAAAAATTGCCCACTTGGTCACCTGCTCGAGTTGTAAGTCTATGAAAGAATCAAACATCAGAATGTATGAACCCCCAGAGCTTTAAAAAATTGAAGAGAGATTTTAAGATAGAATTGTTCAAACTCATGCCTGAGCAATCCAAGCGACTAATTCAAAATACAGAATATTTTGAAGTACTTATTATTGTCATGATCCGTGTTTCTGTGTATTTATTTTTAGAGTTTTTTGTCTTCAGTTTGCCCAGGTGTGTCTCATTCCCTTGATTACCCCGTGTATTTAAACCCACCTGTTGTCTTTGTCTCTCCTTGGATCCTTGTCATTTGTTACCTGTTCCCTCATGCTGACAGTTGTTCCTCCGTGCTGTTCCCTGTTGTTCCATACTTGGATTAATATCATTAAATTAATCATTTTTCACCTATCTCCTGGATCCGCCTGCGTTCATCCTCACCACCTCAACCCCTCTTTACGACAATTATTAAGAGAGGCTGTTTCACAAGGTATTTAGGAAATGTATTTGTCTGTGTTCAGTGCTTATTCCCTTTGTCATTCCAATTTTTTGACCACAACTAAATTGTGTACTAATTTGCTTTAGATTATTTCTATGTGTGGATTACTTATATTATTGGTGTAAATTTTATGCCAATGGCCCCATTTAGACGTTTAAACAGGGAAAAACATTCACATACTCTATGCATATTCACCTCTTGTCAGTTCCTTTGAGTACAACAGACCAACAGAATTAAAAAGTTTTAAGTTAGAAAAAGCTCATGTTTTAGGAAATGCAAAAGAGACAAAAAGTGTGTACAGTATACTGCATTTGTGACTCTAACTATAGCATATTAAAGGAATCCCCGGCTTCTTTGATTCTGCAAAACCTGTCATCACATGGTAGGGAGGTGTAGATGGACGCTCCATCCAACTGGGAAGGCTGGTTCATCCATTCAGAAAAGCATGACCTAAGGCAGAGCAATTAACTCATTGGGTCAAGGAAAACATACTCTTACAAAGTTGACAATGTGGACATTTTCGACTGTGGAGATGGGTGGTTTGAGAGAGGAGTAAAAGACAACATGAAAAACCAACTCTGAACAGAAGAGGTGGCCTGAGATTTAATCTTTCAAATACCTGCTTTGCAGAATTGACTTGTCTCCCCAGTTTTACAGCAATTCTACAATTGAGAAATGTGACCCAAAAAATTTACATTGCAAAGTAAGGGATATTTTTCAATCATCAAGCAACAACAACCCTAACATTGAGCGAAGCAGAGGGTAAGACTGTGACTCATGTCATAAGTGCTCTATTAGTGACCTTGATAGTTCTAGCATTGTGATTGTTCTGACTATGAACAATCACACAGACATAATCATAAGTCTGTTACTTCCAGCCATATTCACAACTGTCTGCAATATTTCAGACAAAAAAAAACAAACAAAAAAAAAAAAAAACTAGCATTGGCCAAAATCGGAATCGGCAGGTAAAGGTTTTTAAAGACTGTTAATCAGTGATCGGCCAGAAAAATGTAATTCATTGATTCTTGAGAATAGGGACAAAACGGGTCCTATGGATAAAGCACCAAATTTGAATAAAATGTACACAAAATATATTTTTTTCAAATATCTGACTAAACTAACCTGGGTCATGTGGGCACAACAATGTATATTTTTCTTGTTATTGCTTAATATTTTTTTATTTTAAATATTGTAGTGTAGGGGAGGAGCCTGGACTGGGGGGAGTGGACTCTTTGCACCTCAGCTTCCGCGTTTGGGGAAAAGCGGCTCGATTGTTTCCGATCCAATACAAATATCATTTACACTAGGTGCTTGCAGTGCTTGGCCAAGGTTTGTACATCGATCCGAAGTCAGCTGGAGAGAGGTTTTAAGAT